TCCTGAGTAGCTGGGATTACAGGCACGCGCCACCATGCCCAGCTAATGTTTTGTATTTTTTAGTAGAGACGGGGTTTCACCATGTTGACCGGGATGGTCTTGATCTCTTGACCTCGTGATCCACCCGCCTCGGCCTCCCGAACAAAGTGCTCTTAATCACTGAATTGTTGCATTACTTTTAAATTTTTGGTCTAGATATTAAAAACATTTACTATCGATTATCAACGTATAATAAAAATATTAAAAAATAGGCCAGGCGCTGTGGCTCACGCCTGTAATCTCAGCACCTTGGGAGGCCAAGGCAAGCAGATCACTTGAGGTCAGGAATTTGAGACCAGCGTGGCCAGTGTGGTGAAACCTGTCTCTACTAAAAATGCAAAAATTAGCTGGGTGTGGTAGCACACACCTGTAATTCCAGCTACCCAGGAGACTGAGGCAGGAGAATTGCTTGAACCCACGAGTCGAAGGTTGCAGTGAGCAGAGATCGCACCACCGCAACTCAGCCTGGGCAACAGAGACTCTATCTCAAAAAAAAAAAGCTGGGCATGGTGGTACATGCCTGTAATCCTGGCTACTTGGGAGGGTGAGACAGGAGAATCACCTGAACCCAGGAGGCGGAGGCCACAGTGAAGCAAGATCACACCACTGCACTTCAGCCTGGGATAGGGCAAAACTCCGTCTCAGGAAAAAAAGAAAAAAAAAAAATCATTCTCTCTCTCTCACACACACACACGCTAACATTCTTTTAGAACATTGCAATTAAAAACATTAGAACCGATGTGAATGGTTTCATTTCTTTGAATAGCAACTTTTCTTCTCATATAACTTATGACAAAGAGCAAACATCTTTTCTTCTTTTTTGGAGACAGGGTCTTGCTCTGTCACCCAGTCTGGGGTGCAGTGGCACAAGCACAACTCACTGGAGCCTGGATCTTCCAAGCTCAAGCGATCCTCTCACCTCAGCACCCCCCACCCACCCCCACCCCCGCCCAAGTACCTAAGACAACAGACGAAAGCCATCACGCCTTTTTAGTAGAGATGGGGTTTTGCCATGTTGCTCAGGCTGGCTGAGAACTCCCGAGCCCAAGCAACCTGCCCACCTCAGCCTTCCAAAAGTGCTGGAATTACAGGCATGAGCCACCGCACTGGGCCATTTACGACACAGAGCAAACATCTTTTCTATTGCTTGGGGAAATTTCTTGGGGCATTTTCACACAACTCTAAAGCTGGTACCAGCTTCTAACATTTTATCCTTTGCCTTTTCAACGGCATGGATATCTTGGAGAGAGTTCCCTTATTGTGAATTTTGCCAGTGTCACCTCCTATGAGGCCATCCTCTTTTTCATCACAACCACTTTCCTCACTTATGTCCATAAACTCACCTTCACTAGGTTTCTACAGCTGCATATGAAGATATCACAACATTCTCCCAGTCAGCTATTTCTTCTATAATTCAACGTACATGTGGTTCAAATTTCATTTTCAGCACTGTCATTTTTAGAGGTAGTTTCTGCACTTTCATCTTTGATGACATTAAAGCGTAATTTAACAAAAGCTATGGGATGCTCAGAAGACATTAGGGCCACTGGAGAAAACAAGTAATTGAGAAAAAATGTGAATGGCCACAAAAGATATTACAATTTTTAAAAAATCCTTTATGGCAAGAACCAGCATATGCAAAATCAAAAAGCAGAACTAGATGAAGAAAACAATTACAACTCATATCCGAGACAATCAGCTTCCTTTACATATAAGCAGATCTATAGGAAAATGATTCCCCACTCAAAAATACAGGATGTAAACAGCTTACAGAAAATAAAAATTTCAAAGCTTAAAACATTAAAAAAGTGCTAAACCTCCTTTCAATAGAAATGCAAATATAGATCTCACTGAGAACTTCTGATACTATCTGGATGAATCTCAGCAAAATAAATCTCTTATAATGCTGAATAAAATAAGCCATAAATAAGAGCACATACTGTATGTTTATATGAAATACAAGAATAATGAAAAGATAATATAAGTCAGGATAATGGTTACCTTTCCAGAGGCCCGAGACAGAGCAACGACTGGTATAGAGGTTACACAGGTTCATCCAATTTGTGAAATTCATCATGCTATATTCTCTAACTTTTAATGTATTTTGCATATAATAAAAAGCATCTCTCCAAAAAAAAAAAAAATGCCATATCTACCAGTCTGGCAAAGATAAAAAGCTTTGTGACACTCCATAGTGTTATAATACACACTGGTGGTAGGAGTATCAATAACCACAACCTCCATGGAGACAACCTGCCAATGAAATTTTAAAATGCACATATCCTGCCGGGGGCAGTGGCTCACACATGTAATCCCAGTACTTAGGGAGGCTAAGGCAGGCAGATCACCTGAGGTCAGGAGTTCAAGACCAACCTGGCCAACATGGCGAAACCCTGTTCTACTAAAAATACCAAAATTAGCTGGGCGTGGTGGCGTGCGCCTGTAATCCCAGCTACTCAGGAGGCTGAGGCAAGAGAATCACTTCAATCCGGGAAACAGAGGTTGTGGTGAGCCGACATCAGGCCACTGCACTCTAGCCTGGGTGAGAGAACAAGGCTCTGTTTTAAAAAAAAAAAAAAAAAAAAAAAAAAAGTAGCTATTTATTACTAACCTGCCTGATATGATACTAGAATTCTTTTTGCAGGAGACACTTCAAAGAGAATATATTGAATGCCTAACTCTTCGTTCATAGACACATAGCAACACACACAAAAAAAGTCAAAAGGTGTTTGCCTAATCGTAAAGACCCTTAAGAGAAAGTCCAGGAAAAATAAAGAAATAGGAAGATGGGAACAGAATCACACTCACTTTTACACCCATTCCTTAACACTCACTGCTTCCTGAGCTCAACACTGCATAAAGTGGTCTTCCAAAGACACCATTCCCACACCTAAAAGTTGAGAGAAGAAAAAATCTTAAACGGAAAAAACACTTTTTTATTCTGATTATCTTTTTTTTTTTTTTTTTTTTTTTTGAGACAGAGTCTCACTCTGTTGCCCAGGCTGGAGTGTAGTAGTGCAATCTCCGCTCACTGCAATCAAGCGATTATCGACCTCAGACTCCTGAGTAGTTGGAATTACAGGCATGCACCACCATGCCGGGCTAATGTTTGTATTTTCAGTAGAGACAGGGTTTCACCATGTCTGCAAGGCTGCTCTCGAATTCCTGTTCTCAAGTGATCCATCGTCCTTGGTCTCCCAAAGTGCTGGGATTACAGGCATGAGCCACTGCGCCCGGCCCTGAATATCCTTTGTCAAATTTTAAATACATCAACAAAATCATCACATCTCCCCACAAACACAAGATTCCTGCTCAACTGGCATTTACATTCCAGTGGAAATTAAAAAATAAAAATAAAAATAAAAACAAAGAAAAAAAGAAAAGAAAAGGCAGTCGGAGTTAATCCCAGAAGGCTGGAATCGTCCTGTGTATATTCCATGGCACTGATACCTGGTCGAAGCACGAAACATAGTGATTAATAATGTTGCTCTGAAATCATGAATCCCATGAGCTATGGGCTGCTTGTACCAGCTTGTCAGCGTTGTTCATTGTTAAAGTGAGATTGATGGTTTGCACCTGGTTTTGGTGAGCCCCTAGAGGTTTCTGCCACTGATGCTGGTTATGTAGCAAAAATATGCCTATGTGGCCAGCAGGAATATAAGCCCCACTGAGACTCCACTGGGTGGTCCCTGGTTCCAAGGTGTTCCCTGCACACATCAGTGATCCCAATCCAGGAAAGCTATCCATATGGCCCTACAGAAGGGGGACAATTGAACCTCACACTCAGCCTCTTCAGGTTCATTGATAGGAGGCAGCCTTTGCTTGTGACATGCAACGTAACTTGAAAGCAGTTGCATTAGGTATCCTTTTTCAGCAATAAACCACAGATTGATGAGCACTGTTACTTTGGATCATGTGAGCTTTCTTTAGCAATCAAACCTTGCCTAACTGCCACTGTTGGGGGCGGGTGTAACAAACTGTAATAACTGGTTAAAAAAATAAAACTTAATAATAAAGAGTGAAAAACTAAAGAGGCAAAATGGGATTAGAGAACACGGCCAGGAAAGGAGATGGGGAACATGAACTAATGTACAAATGACAAGAATCCAACAAAATGACAGCAGGGGTTAAGAGAATTCTAAGCAGAGAGCACCACAGATAGGCTCTAAGGCAAGAACAAGTTTGATTCCAACAAAAGTTAAGTGTGGCTACAGAGTGGCAAGCAATGAACAAATGGTAGGAAATTAAATCAGAGGTAGGCAGGAGCAGATCACAGACAGCCTTATAAATATGGATTTCAAACCAATAGCTTTCTTTTTTGAGGCGGAGTTTCACTCATGTTACGCAGGCTGGAGTGCAATGGCGCGATCTCGGCTCACTGCAACCTCTGCCTCCTGGCTTCAGGCAATTCTCCTGAGTAGCTGGGATTACAGGCACGCACCACCATGCCCAGCTAATTTTTTGTAGTTTTAGTAGAGACGGGGTTTCACC